ATCAAGATATGAAGACAGTATTTGATTATGAAGAGGTATGTAGATATCTAGAGATAAATAATATTGTGTTGGGAATTCTTGATATGTATAGGAATTAATTGGTTTATTTTTTCATATGGATATATCATTAGCTTTTTTGAAATGAGAAATAAGAAAAAGTGTACTTTATTTGATCTGTATGTTAAAAATAAAATATAATGAACTTTTGTAGAAAGTGTATTAGTGAAGTAACTACAGCACTTAATTTTGGATTTCATGGTGGATGTGATCTAGCTTGTTCTAATGCATGCATTAGTAAGCTTTTATTCACAATCATAATGTCTCTTAAGGTTGATAATAAACGAACAAGAGATTTAGTGTGCAATGTATATGGTGATAGTGGGATTTTGGCATGATCAAGGTGGTATGCCAGCCAGATCCTTTACAAGTATATTTAATTGCATGACTGTACCGGAAACTTGAATCCCTACAACTCCAAATTGATTACTAGCTGGTCTGCATGATAAATCTATAAAACTTGCCCCATCTAATGTTTCTCTCCATAATTTCACTTCATCATCAGCTTTTTTCGAATTACTGCAGATGATGTGTGAGGACTCAGCATACATCAACTCTATATTTTTTTTGTTTTGTTTCAGCAACCCCATAATATCAGGTTTTTCCCCATATGTTTCTTATCCATTCCTACATTTCATTGAGATGTACTTGCCAAACTTTGGTATTCTGATGTACTTAAGCATATACAGCCATTGGGAAGGCCCCCTAAACTTGATTGAAGCAAAGGAATTATAACGTCTGTTATATATGTTTCCTCACTCTGCTCACTGTGAGATGCACTGGTTGTAAATGCAGGGTTGTTCCATATCTCACAACTAATAAAAGTGCATTAGAATATGCAGAGATACTAGTAATGCCAATTGTTTATGTACGGAAATTACTTACAGTGTACCAAGAATGCAATCAGTTATTTTTATCAGCTCACTCTCAGTTTCTTTCTGATTTTTATTATGAAAGATATTCCCATAACCAGTGAAGCATTCAAATTGTTAAAATTGTTCACAAATTCATACACTTTGCCACAACTGAACCTGGTATAATGCATTTCATATTTTCCCAAGGTCCTAAAAAAGTACTCTTTTGCCTACACTCCAAATTCTTCACAATGTCTGAATTATCACTAAGGACCATACTTGCTTCAGGATCCTCCCACATAATAGCATTAGTAAATATCACATCAATTATCATGTTCAGGGGCCCTGGGGTGACCCATATGCATGTGAATAAGAAATTCAGTCAGTTGATCAATTTGTATTACATGCATTGCATTCCAAATTCATCAAAAAAAACTGTTGCTTTTTTGAACATGTCTTCATCAACTGAAGAATTTTATAAATTTGTGGAAAACTGGGACACAGAAACTCTCATAACTTTTTTAAAGCATCAAGATCTGAACCTTGAAGAAAGATATTTAGAATTTCTTCATAAGCAAGAAATTAATGGACGAGCCTTTCTTCTCTTGACTGAGGAAAAGCTTTTAGGCCCTCCTTGTAACTTTGCTGGTGGTCCTGCTTTAATTCTTGCAGAGCAGATTAAGATATTAAAAGATAGTAAGAAGAGGGCATTTTCATCTTTCAAGACCCAGAATGATTTGAAAGAAGTTTTAAAAAATCATGGAATCGTTGATGGATACAGTATTATTAACATCCCACAATTTGAACCAGGTAAGCATTTCTTGATAAAGTCTAGCGAAATCAGATGAGTATGCTCACTATGCATTTATTCATTCTACAGTCAAGCCTCGTTTCAACGAATCTCTGGGGATGGTCATTAAAATTCATTGAAACAAAAGTTCGTTGAAACAAAATTTTAACTATTTAGTAATGATCGACACACATAATAAAAAAAAAATTTTTATTTGAAATAACCAGTAATACATGTTTGTTTTTGGTTTCTAACATGATATAATGTCACTTTTCTTTTTAATGATTTAAAAGCTTTTAATTCATTATAATCTATTTCTAAATTGTTCTGTTCAAGAAAATTATAGACAGTTTAAAAAGCATTGACTGCATCTTTTGTTGTAATATTGGGAATATTTGTATCATGTTCCGTAACTTCTTCCTCTTCTTCAACTTGTGTAAGAGAGTTAATAATCTCTTCCTCAGTTACCATTTCACTATTAGTTGACTTATCATCAATTGATACATATTCCTGTGCAGTCAATGGTGAACTGAAAGGAAATTTATTTATTAAATCTTCAATATCACTTTCTAAATTAATTACATCCTCAACTTCTTCTGCTACATTGTCTGACAATGGAAGAATGCCAGTTTTCCTCCAGCAATTATTAATGGTAATTGAGGTAACATTATCCCAAGCTTCTGCAACAAATTTTATAGCTTTTTTAATATCAAATTCTTTGGGTTTTTTACCCTCTTGTTTCTTGTCATAAATTTTAATCTTTTTTTTTCAATAATAATTTTTGATAATTAGCCTCTAAAATGGTATAAAGGTAAGTCAAAATATAACTTTTTAATCAATTTATATCAAAATATTTATTTACAATCAAACCTTAAAAGAATGTATTATCCCAGCATCACATGGTTGTAGAAATGCGGTTGTGTTTGGAGGCAAATAATGCACATTTACATTCGTTAACTGCACATTATCCATTAAATTATGGGTTGGTGCATTGTCAACAAGCAATAATATGTTTCTATTGGCAATCTTCATTTTATTATCTAATTTTTTTAAATAGTCATTCCATATGGAGACTTGCATCCATGCTTTGCTATTCCAATAATATTCAACTGGTAAAGACTTTTTGTTAATATTTTTTAGTGGTCGCGGATTCTCATATTTATGGATAAATAATGGCATTAACTTTTCACTACCAGTTGAATTACAAGTTAATAATATTGTTACTCTATCTTTATTTTGTTTTGTACCTGAGATAGGGCCTGTAGATAATCTGCGAGATGGTTCCATTTTCCAGAAAAGACCAGTTTCATCACAATTAAAAATATCCTCTGCATGATACTCTTTAAGGATATTTTTTAAGTCTTCTCTCATTATTGGAATTTGTGTAATGGGTGCACTTTGAGATTCTCCATGTTTGTTATATTCCTGAATTGAATATCTCTGCTTAAAATTATGAAGCCAACCAGATGATGCTTTGAAGCTATTATTCCCCAATAATTCCGAAAATTTTAAAGCTTTTTCTTGAATGATAGAACTTGTAATAGTTAAATTGCATTCAATTGCTTTCTCAATCCATAAAATTAAAGCCTCTTCAATATTTACAACAGGAGAAGCATGTGGTTTTTTTAATTTTGCTTCGTAAGAGTTTGGATCAATTTTGAGCCATTTATCAGATGTTCTCAATATATCAGTAACTTGGCCTGAACTAATTCCATATTTATCCGTCAGTTCAATATTTTTTGGTTGAGGTTTAGCTTTTTTTAATAAACAAATTTCACGTTTTTGCTCTGCAGTGATATATACCCGTTTTTTAGAAGAAGATTGAGACATTTTATCAATGATATCAAAAATTATTTATTTGGTTATTAATTATGTGAAATCAGAAGCAATTATTTATTTGTTATTAATTGTGTAGGAATTATTAATTTTAAAAAACCCAATAAAAGAAAATTTTGCTTTTATTTATACATTTTAGAAATACTCAAATGTTTGATTAAAACAATAGTAAGAATATTTTATTTGAATGTTCTTTATTTTCTTTAATTTGGGTTTGGAGAATTATCACTATTTGTGTAAAATCATTATTTAGTAAAGTGGATTTTATTTTGTTTGATTAATTAGTATTTAATCATGTGATGAAAATTTTAGATAATAATTTATTAGTAAATTGGTTTTTTTAATAATAATGTGAATTTTTCTTTATTGTTTTTTTTTTTCCTAGAAATTTGGATTTTGAAGAATTGTTGCGCATAAAAACTATTCATATAAAATCATTATTTAGTAAAATGGATTTTTGCTATAGTTATTATAGTAATTTGGAAAATCGGGGAAAATCACATATGCTGCATATCACGTGAATTCGTTGTACTTATATAAAAATTCCACCAAAAAAATTCGTTGTCGTTGTAACACGATATATATATAAAAATTCGTTGAAACGAAAATTTTTAATTAATAAAAAAAGGGGGACAAGACCAAAATTTGTTGAAACAAGATTCGTTGAAACGAGGCTTGACTGTAGATTTCAAATAGATTTTGTTAGGCCAAATGATGCAATACAGTAAAAATCTCAGAAGACTACAAACTGATTTGTGCAATAAAAAAATTCTGTTTTACTGTTTTAGTATAATCAACACAAAACAACAATTTCTTCAATTGTTTTTTTAGAAATAACTTGTATTTATTTGTTTATCTGTTTTAGTTTGATATCCATTTTTAGTAATAATAAATAATTTAAATCTAACATAATTATTTTTCATGGAACCAGTTGAAGATTTTTATTTTCTCTTTATCAATCATTGAATATATACTTGAAAATATTTTTGATATTTATTTGCAGACCCACTCAAATTTAATTCTTTTCTGCCTACTTTGCTCATCACCACAGGACCAATTTTAGAATCTCTTCAATTTTAAAATAAATGAAACCCTACAAAGTGAACAAAAAATTATAAAATTATATTGTGAGATAGTAAATCTTGGACCTATCAATTACCCGGCTAATATTGACTAATTAGAACGAACTTACTATGGAAGTCATGTGATGCACTAAATATATTATTGTAACGGCTACGCCGCAGATTGCGCAGTGTCATAATGAAAGACTATTCCTATTCATATTTCTATATTTATATTTATTAACCTTCTTATCTGATGTAAATATTTACTTAGAATTAATAATTAGTTGATAAGCATATTATTGGAGAATAGAGTAGCACATATCACATTATTTGTACTGCCCCAAGAGGTATAAA